GTTGCTGCTGTTGTTGCTGCTGTTGTTGCTGTTGTTGTTGTTGTTGTTGTTGTTGTTGTTGTTGTTGCTGTTGTTGCTGCTGTTGTTGCTGCTGTTGTTGCTGCTGTTGTTGTTGCTGCTGTTGTTGTTGTTGCTGTCGCTGTTGTTGTTGTTGCTGTTGATGCTGTTGTTGTTGCTGTTGTTGTTGATGTTGTTGTTGCTGTTGTTGTTGCTGTTTTCGCTGTTGTTGTTGTTATCGTGTTATGTACAGTAAATATGGCGAATCTAATTAATAAATAAATCATTGGGTTCTTTAGGGAATGATATGATGACATACCGTAGGAAGGCCATCTGAGGTAGTGGATGTACTTTCAATTGATATACGAGGACCACAGGTTACATACAGCCAAGCCTGTCAAGATGCGTAATAGGGACTTTAAGTCACGTAGTCACGGAATATGATTAGTCAGGAGGTTAGGGTTAGGGATTGGATTAGGTTTCGTGATTGCGTGACATGAAACGATAATTCACGCTTCAGTTTTAGTGCACAAGTTGCTCTAACTTCGAACAGCTAACAGTTGACTTCAAATTACGATTGAAATTGACTTGAAATTCGCCGTTTGCGGTAAGCAGTTTGTCGTAAACGTCAATCGTACAGTCCCTCATGTCCGTCATGTCAACAACAACAACAACAACAATAACAACAACAACAACAACAACAACAACAACAACAACAACAACAACAACAACAACAACAACAACAACAACAACAACAGCAAATGACCAACTACTGCTGCAGGCCCAGAAAATATATTTCTCTTCCTGGGAGCAAAATTCAAAAATAAAAATTTCCCATTTCCACTCAGGAAAATTTTCCGCCGAAAGAAAATTTTGTAAAATGTGATTGGCGGAAAAAAATTTTTTGAAGTTGAAAATTTTCAACTTTTAACGATGATATTTTCGGAACATTTTCTGCCCGTGGAAATTCTTCTTGAGTGGAAATAGGCCTTAATTCAAATGTAAAACTTCGTGCATATGCAGATTTCACAGAACATATGCAGATTTCACAAAACATATGCAGACTTCACAGAACATATGCAAATTTCACAGAACATATGCAGATTTCACAGAACATACGTAGATTTCACAGAACATATGCAGATTTCACAGAACATATGCAGATTTCACAAAACATATGCAGATTTCACAGAACATATGCAAATTTCACAGAACATATGCAGATTTCACAGAACATATGCAGATTTCACAGAATATAGGCAAATTTCACAAAACATATGCAGATTTCACAGAACATATGCAGATTTCACAAAACATATGCAGATTTCACAGAACATATGCAAATTTCACAGAACATATGCAGATTTCACAGAACATATGCAGATTTCACAGAATATAGGCAAATTTCACAAAACATATGCAGATTTCACAGAACATATGCAGATTTCACAAAACATATGCAGATTTCACAGAACATATGCAAATTTCACAGAACATATGCAGATTTCACAGAACATATGCAGATTTCACAGAATATAGGCAAATTTCACAAAACATATGCAGATTTCACAGAACATATGCAGATTTCACAAAACATATGCAGATTTCACAGAACATATGCAAATTTCACAGAACATATGCAGATTTCACAGAACATATGCAGATTTCACAGAATATAGGCAAATTTCACAAAACATATGCAGATTTCACAGAACATATGCAGATTTCACAAAACATATGCAGATTTCACAGAACATATGCAAATTTCACAGAACATATGCAGATTTCACAGAACATATGCAGATTTCACAGAATATAGGCAAATTTCACAAAACATATGCAGATTTCACAGAACATATGCAGATTTCACAAAACATATGCAGATTTCACAGAACATATGCAAATTTCACAGAACATATGCAGATTTCACAGAACATACGTAGATTTCACAGAATATATGCATGGTGTCGCACATGGAGAAATAACACAAACCTCAACGGAATGATTTGTTATATATGGAACAAACTTCCATGGAGCGGTTTTTTGTTTATAACTCAAGGAATAACCAGTAACCCATCCTTCAGCTTCAAAACTTCCTTGAACGGCCACTTCGGTGACTTTAACCCATTGGTTCAAATCCACCTGAAGGTATGCGTCTTCGTCCAAACGCGATGGCGACCACGCATCTAGTAGGAACAAATATTGAGGTTTGGATTAGGTTTGAGTTCAGACGACGTTTACGATTTGGCTGTGAATTACACAAGTAACAATCTCACAATGTGTTCGCAAAGGTTTTCTATTCCCCCGGAAAGGTTTTCTAGGGTCTGTGAAAGGGTATTGCGTGAATTTAGGGGGAAATGGCAATACATTTTTTATTTTCTCATTTGAAAGAACTTTTAAGACTATATATAATATTCTTTTACCGTTTTCCCTTTCATATCTTGCTTACTTCTACAAATATTTTGATCGAAAGAAATTAAATGTCCGCCATCTTCAATTTTTGTAGATATGCATGTCATGTCACGTCACAACAGAAGTCACGCAATATTTTTATCTAGACAACCACCAATCATTTTGCACTCAAAACTATACTCTGTCTGTCCTTCGAAATATCTAGCCTGCTCGCAGGCTACGAAATATCAAGATCACTCAAAGCCAATCAATATTTGGTCAGAAACGAATATTTATATAGACCCATTGCACATGACATCACAGTGCCAGTGACGATGCATCTGGAGGACAAATTAGCAATCTATGCATAATATAACTTTTGTAAACAAAGCAAATTTCGTAAAAGTTTATAATAATTTTGTATTAAAATGGTTAATTTTTGCGCTGTATATGGTTGTTGTACCGAACAGATATTGTTAGGGAGCATCTGGAGGACACTCTAAGGATTTGTGACGTCAATGCAATGCGTCAATTGCCATTTCCCTTTAAAGGATTAATGTCAGGGTCATACATTGCGGGCTTTTGTTATTGTTTACATTTCACTCAAATACAACAAATAGCGATAAAAAAACCTTGTTTGGTACATTTCTGATAAAAATCAGACAAAAAGAGCAAGGATTATAAAAGGATGGTTTAAATATTCAACGGATTGTAAACATTTTCCAGATCATCTAATCTATTCGTCCCGTAAAATGGCCGCCAGCAGGAGTTTGAGCCAGCGAATTCCAGGTGTGACACCAATCCTTTAAGACACGTCTTATGATAACCCCAAAGTCACAGATTTGTTATATTTTAGGTCATAGATGAAAGCGTTACGAGGTTAAGCCCCCACCCAGTTTCTCTTCAACTTTGTGAGAATTACAAAATAGGTTCTCAGGAAAAGTGGTGGCGGGGGGAGGGGGGTCCACATCCCCAATCCCCGTGCCTACCCCCCGACGCATGTTATTTTGTGATGGTAATTTGGAAAATCATTCCTAAAACTAACCAGAGTTCAACGCCTGCAAGCCGGCGCGAGCGTAGTGAGGAAACCAGCCATTTTCCCCACTAGAATCAGAGAGAAGATGAGACGAAGCTGTCATGCCACTGTCCAACGTCTGACCACTTCCAATGTCGAGTGAGTTAGCTTGACCTGGAAACGAGTTGGAAATAATTAATATTAACGAGGGTCTCCAATTGACAAATTTGGCTAAATTTTGTTTATACAAAATTCACAACTTTAGGGTTTGATCCCACCACGGTGAAGCAATGTTTTCGCTTACACGCGTAAAAATCTCGCAAAAGGCCTGTAGCAAGCTTGTCAACAAGTTGTAATACATTGATATCGAAGGAACTAGACTCAATTCCGAAATATCACCAACTCGAACCGACTTGACCTCGTAGCTTAGTTGGTAGAGCATTGGACTAGTATCCCAAAGGTCGCAGGTTCGATTCCCACCGTGGGGTCAGGCAAACTTTTCAGCATGCCCGGTGTGGATACACACTCAGAGTAACGCCACAAACATCAAGTTGTAACAATGTTGATATTTTATCAAGTTGCTACAAGGTTGTCACTCACGACTTGTTCAAAGTTGTTGAATTGCAGGACGATGACAAAGTTGTTGGAACAACTTGTAACAAGTCTGTTGACCTCAACAACCTTGTAACAAGTTATCAACAAGCAATTGACAACTTGTCAACAAGCTGGGAACAAGCACGGCAAACACATCCTGTTGACAAGTTGTTGGAACAGCATTGCTACAAGTCTGCTGCAGGTTTGTCACAAGTTGTGCGTTACGTGTGGGTCACTCAGAGTAACATCACGTACTATGAAAATAATCATATTCAACTACTCATACCAAAGCGATAACCAGAGCACTGGAACTTGTTCACCAACTCTTGCGAGCTCAGTCTACGGTCCCAAAATACCACGTCAGCAATACTGATATCGTCACAAACAAATTCGGGAATGTTTAGACGTGCAGGACATCCTATTCTAAGCCTTGGCACTCCATCAAACCACCAAATATCATGCGTATAGTAGTGGGAACGCCACACCCCGACCAAATTACGATAGACAGTGAGTTTTTCATTGTTCAACCAAGTAAGGGTCCAGTGAGTCCATGTATTAGTAGTCACAAGACCATTGTATAAAACTCTATAATAAATACGTCATCGTGTCATGTGATGAACCCATTGACCTCCATATATATTTGGAGCGAGAACTGAGGTGAAGCGGAGGTGTTGGCCGAAATTTTGTATTTTTACTTCAATTTAAAGAATTGATTAGCGATACTATCTGTTAGAAAAAACTAGGATTGGCTGGGGTAAATGGTTTCCTCCTTTAGTAACACTGGATCAATAAGGGATGATCCTTACTGGACCTCTAGGAAGAACATTTTAGAACTGATAGAGCTATCAAGTATAAATAAAGTTAGTTTAGTTTCGGTTTCCTCCTGTAGTAACACTGGATCAATAAGAGATGACTCTTACTGGACCTCTAAGGAGAACAGTTTAGAACTGATAGAGCTATCTAGTATAAATAAAGTTAGTTTAGTTTAGGTTTCCTCCTGTACTAACACTGGATCAACAACAGATGATTCTTACTGGACCTCTAGGCAGAACAGTTTAGAACTGATAGAGCTATCCAGTATAAATAAAGTTACTTTAGTTTAAGTTTCTTCCTGTAGTGACACTGGATCAATAAGAGATGATCCTTACTGGGCTTCTAGGAAGAACAGTTTAGAACTGATAGAAATATCCAGTATAAATAAATTTAGTTTAGTTTAGATTTCCTCCTGTAGTAACATTGGATCAATAAGAGATGGTCCTTACTGGACCTCTAGGAAGACAGTTTAGAACTGATAGAGCTTCCCAGTATAAATAAATTTAGTTTAGTTTAGGTTTCCTCCTGTAGTAACACTGGGCAATAAGAGATGATCCTTACTGGACCTCTAGGAAGACAGTTTAGAACTGATAGAGCTTTCAAGTATAAATAAAATTAGTTTAGTTTAGAATTTTTATTTTTTTTCTGTGTTGGTGTAGTTATTAGTTATTAGTTTAGTTTAGGTTTCCTCCTGTAGTAACACTGGGCAATAAGAGATGATCCTTACTGGACCTCTAGAAAGATAGTTTAGAACTGATAGAGCTATCCAGTGTAAACAAAATTAGTATAGTTTAGGTTTCCTCCTGTAGTAACACTGGGCAATAAGAGATGATTCTTAGTGGATCTCTAGGAAGAACAGTTTAGAACTGATAGACCTATCCAGTATAAATAAAATTAGTTTAGTTTAGGTTTCCTCCTGTAGTAGCACTGGGCAATAAGAGATGATCCTTACTGAACCTCTAAGAAGAACAGTTTAGAACTGATAGAGCTATCCAGTATAAATAAAATTAGTATAGTTTAGGTTCCCTCCTGCAGTAACACTGGATCAATAATGGAAAGCTTAATCTTCACTAAAAAGGTATGTAGTCTAAATAAAGATAGCTTGGCCTAGTACACCAGACTTTATACGTACTTGTATTTCGTTGCGTCTTTATGAAACACAAAAACCAATTCATTTGTCGCAAGACGGACCATAGTAAAATATCCAAGGACCTCCATCACTGGGCAATAACGGGTAGCATCGCCAGTTAAATTTTTCAATGTGTCAAAACGAAGCCAGAAGGAGAACGTCCAGCCTAAAATTCAAGAAAACAAACTTAATACTAATTAACAAAACTTGCAACTACCTGAAAAATACAAGGAGAAATTCGACATTTCGAGCGATGCAGTACAAACGCCTAGTTCAGGTTCAACAACTCTATTCAATTTCAGTCAAAGAAATGAGGCCAAGAACACAACACAACACAACACAACCACAAACACAAACACAACACAACACAACACAACACAACACAACACAAACCTAACACAACACAAACCTAACACAACACAAATGTTTTTGTGTAAACAATATAAACACAGCAGTACAGCACAACCACAATACAACACAAATCTAACACAACACAACACAACACAACACAACACAACACAACACAACCCTAACACAAATCCAACACAAAAACAACTATAAACACAACACAACATAACTCAAACCTAACACAACAATAAACACAACACAACACAAACCTAACACAACACAACAACAAACACAACATAACACAAACCTAACACAATATAACCCAACACAAAAACAACTTTTAACACAACACAACCACAACACAACTATAAACACAACACAACCCGTACTTAACCCAACCACAACACAATGCATACTAACCTGCAGCCCAATCTAAATTCATCATTTGTAATTCAGACAAATCTCCCAGATCAATAGTGCCACGATCGCTTTCTTTCAATGCAATTGCAGCTGTTCTGAATCCATTGTGAACAATAGGTCCTGTATTCACTATTTCCCCCCCAGTTTCGACGCGACCATGATGACTGCCTGCTATATCTCCAATACCACCACCATCAAGCTTGTCCATTGGCCAGTGATGGCGGGCATCCTCCAAACACGTACCTAGAGAAATACGTTGTAACATACACACGTAAAAATCTCATAGCTTGTCAACAAGTTGTAACAATGTTGTTATTTTATCAAGTTGCCACGAGGTTGTCACTCCCAACTTGTTGATAAATTGTTGAATTGTAGGAAGATAACAAGTTGTTGGAACAACTTGTAACAAGTCTGTTGAACTCAACAACCTTGTAGCAAGTTGTCAACAAGCCGTTGACAACTTGTCAACAAGCTGGGAACAAGCAGTGCGAACTCATCCTGTTGACAAGTTGCTGGAGCAGCATTGCTACAAGTCTGCTGCAGGTTTGTTACAACTTTTTACGTGTGTATCTGTTTTTTGTGTAAGCGTTTTTACGTGTGTATCTGTTCACAAGCTGTCGACACGTTGTGCTCGCACTACTTGTTCCCAGTTGTTGTAACAAGTTTGGAACAAGCTGTTAACAACTTGTAACAAGCTTGATGGCATTATCAGACTTGTAGCAAAGTTGTTCTAACAAGTCTGATACAGTCATGATATAACAAGAATGTTACAAGGTTGACAACACAAGGTTGTAACAATATTGTTATATCATGACTGTATCAGACTTGTTGGAACAACCTTGCAACAAGTCTGATAATGCCATCAAGCGTCTTACAAGTTATTAACAGCTTATCCAAACTTGTTGACAACTTGAGAAAAACGCTGTGAACATAACATGTTGCAACCTCGCAAGCCAGGGTCTTTTACTTCCGCACGGCGCTACAGCGCAGGTAAAAGACCCTGGCTTGCGAGGTTGAACTTGTTGACGGCTTGCCAGGTATCAATTGTCAATTTATTAAAAATAATTTAACAATTATATAAAATATAAATCCCAGATTTTCTTTGATACTGTGATTCAGTGTGAAATGGAAATTTTTTCATATTTGATGGCTTTTCTAATTTTTATTTTCATTATCAAATACTTAAAGGGTATGGGCAACAAAAAAATTTGTATTGATTTTATTGCTTCATCTGAAAGAGCATGAAAAAATAAGCCGATTGGCCGTTTACTGCTCTATTCTATCTCATCTGGTTCCGAAGTTATACGCAAAAATGTGCAAAATATAAATTGCTGATTCAGCACATTCTGTGACGTCATAAGCTGGGTAAGTATGTTTATTGAATAGTAAACTAAAGCATAGCTGAGTTATTATTGGCTCAAATCAAATGAAATTTTGCATACAGATAGTACATGATGAGACGCATGGGAAAATACTTCTAATTTCGTTGTCAAGGCAACACAGTCGTTCCCAGGCCCCTTACACTGATTTTGAATAACTAGTTGCATTTATCTATGTGTATGTCATTTTCGAATTATTATCATGCAAGTAAACTTTTGGCATGCATAGGTATCATACACATACTTCTGATATTATTTTATTTTTATCAGTACCTTGAATAAAGCTGTTTCATAAAATTGGCGCAAGGGGCCTGGGAACGACATTGTTACCTTGGCAACAAAATTAGAAGTGTTTTTCCATGCGTCTCATCATGTACAATCAGTATGCAAAATTTCATTTGATTTGGGCCCATAATAACTGAGCTATGCTTCAGTGTAGTATTCAATAAACATACTTACCCAGCTAATGACGTCACACGTTGTGCTGAATCAGCAATTTATATTTTGCACATTTTTGCGTATAACTTCGGAACTAGATGAGATAGAATAGAGCATTAAACGGCCAATCGGCTTATTTTTTCATGCTCTTTCAGACGAAGCAATAAGATAGATGAAGCAATTTTTGTTGCCCATACCCTTTAAAATGTTAGACGTTTGTAGCAAAATTAAGAATTTGCTTTATACAATCATCAAACTAAATTAATTATTAATATTGGACTTATTAGTATTTTGAACAAAAGTGCTGTAGTACTGTCTTGAATTCCAAAATAGGTTAGTCTGAGATGGTAGCGATTGATATACCGGATGGAAAGCGCGATTAAAAATGAAAACTAATAACTTCTTATTAACCGAGCGCGAGGTCTTTACAGAGAATTAACGGACCGAGGTATTTTTTGTACATAGCCCGTCAGGCGATGTTTGTACAAAAAGACCGAGGTCCAATATTTCTCTGTAAGGGACTGGTCATAATTTATCAGGAGGGTGGGGAGGTGTAATTCAAAATTTTAAGGAATGATATTTTGTGACCCTGTTTTGACATAACCCGGAAAAATAATGCCCCCCCCCCCTCTCTCTCTTGCTCGTGTCAGTAAAAATGTACCTACCTACTACTAAACCCTGCATTCAATAAATTTTCTAATTTCACCTTAAATTTTCCAATTTTCTAATTGCGCTTTAAATCAAATACTAAAATTTATATTATACCAATACATAGTCATATATAAAACTTTAGTTTTTTTCAAACTTTTCATTCTAAGTTTAAAGAAACTCAAACAAAATGTAATGCAACTCAAACAAAATGTGAGAAGGCATGTATAAAACAATTAATTGAACTAAAACAGCAGACCCCCTCCCCGCCTTCATAAACTGTCTAATATTTTATGACCCCCCCTTTTTCAAGGCTAAAAAATATGAGACCCCCCACTGTTTCCACCTCCCCACTCCTCCTGCTAAATTACGAACAGTCCCTAAAGACATGCAAGCAAGCGAGGTTAATAAAAAGTTTATTATATGGCATTTATAGGCATCTATACTTGAAACAAACAAGAAATGCATGATTTGAAATGCATATTAGTAGCGTGATACACATTTGGTCGAAGAAAACAAACATTACCAATGTATTCCTTCCTTTCCACTAAAAACCATTTGCAGGTATCTTATTAATAACAAATTAAATTATAATTTTCAAATTTTCAATTAGTTTCGCTGTTTTATTTTAAAATGCCCGCGTTTGTTTTTACGTAATGGACCGCCGGTCCATTACGGGAAAATAATGGACCTCTGAGAGTGCTTCTCAGCCAATCACAGTCCACCATTTCACCGGAAGTGATGCTTGCCATATAATAAAGCCCAGTAAATGACTTTCAGACAAGACAAGACAAGACATAACAAAAACATAAAATTTATTGGCTAACGTTTCGTTGTATTGTTCACAACATCTTCAGAGAAAAAAATAAATAAGTTTAATAAATAAGTTTATTAAATAAGTTTAATTGCTCTGAAGATGTTGTGAACAATACAACGAAACGTTAGTCAATAAATTTTATATTTTTCTTATGTCTTGTCTGAAAGTCTTTTGATGAGCTTTAATTTTCATTTTTAAATTAGTCTGAGATAGATTATAACAAACTTTCAGATCTCAAACATTTAAGATAGATTTAATTTTTAGCACCGCCCCCCCCCCCCCATGCCTTGCACCTGTATTGATCAAGGTCAACAAGGGGTACATACCCTTGTGCATCCCCTATAAGTCCACCAATGAAGTACTGTGAGGCCTACCTCGCATGCTGCAAACACTGGCACTGACAACTGTGGCACTTCCAGGCGAAATGATCATCCGAGAGACAGTCGTTATGGTATGATCAATAGTTATTAAGTGTTCCGATCCCATGCCGACAACAAATTTATCGGAGCTGAAATCCACCCAAAATTGAAGATCGAGATTGGCCGGCAGGTCTCCGAGAACGGTAACAGGTGACGAGTTATCCAGGGTGAAGGTCAGAGGTGTCGATCCAGCCACTTTTAGAACATATTTATTTTGAAAACCATCCCCAACAAACATCAGCTCGACTGTATTCGTGCCGTGCGTACGAAAGCGTAGGGTAATAGCCACGAAACCGCCAGATATCGGGTATGCAACATGCTCCTCTGGGGTGAGTCCAGTCATAGTTGAACCGTCAAGGGTAATGTGTTCACATAGTAGATCTAAAACATAGGAAAGTCAATTATGTTTTGTTTTGTAAAGAACACCATAATGTAGAGTAAATGTTCCCCACAATAAATTTATGTGTGGTACATTTACAATAATTGCAAAGATTTTGGGCTAGAGACCTACTAGAAATCTTCGTCTAGACATTCTATTTAAGCCTGTAGTTATGCTAGTTTGTATTATATTATATTATGTAATAAATTATTTACAGTCAATCACTACAATATAAAAAAAAATGTATTTACAAGAGAGAAAAAGAAGGTTCAGAATACTTATCTTAGGTTTTGAATACTTTTTCACTATAACATATATCTAAGATTGGGAGAATTAGAATATTGAACTGTTCGATCATTATTTGCGTTTCCCTTATAGCTACAATAGAATTGAAAATTGTATTTCTGTACAAGCATATTTTTAGGTAGGAGAGGAGTGGTTTCGAGTGCAATGGACAACTTGCATGTTAGACTAAATTTTAACCTAAGTAAAGAAAAGGGAATGAAACACCACAGCTCAAAAATGGTAACAATTTCCGCACGTAATACAAACACATACAAAATGTGCAAACTTCGCAAGGCTATATTTCCCGTATTTTACAACATTTCGTAACCAAATTTTGCAATTTTACTAATTCTAATAAGTTCTTTACGGTTTTGCCCAAATCAAAAATTAGTCTAACATGCAAATTGTCTATTTGGAAAAAACATGTACGAGTGAGTTTTTCAAAGACTATCGAGTCCGAAGGACGAGTGCAATTTGAAGTCTTTGAAAAACTCACGAGTGTATGTTTTTTTTTCAAATTGCACAAGAAACCATACTATTACTTTTTAGTATATAAAGTATAGAGCTTGATAGAGATTTAAAAAACTCATTAACAATTCGGGAGCAAAAGACAAAGAAAAATCATAAGCGTGTCGTATCTTTATATGTGATAAAAAATCATGTTAATTTACATAAACTTTAGCTCTGATTTTCTCGGTTGAGACAAAGTTTATTTTAAAAATTACTTCGCTAATGTACTCATCAGAAGATGGGTCGTTTTTTAAGCCATTTAAAGCACTTGTAGTCGTGTTTTATCAGATATAAAACGCTCGGCTGCGCCTCGCGTTTTATATCTGATAAAACAC